TGGAATCATAGTAACTTATGTTTAATTTTTGAACTTAAGTTACCATGATACTATATATTGTAGTAATTATTAGTCATTGTAGTAACATTGATAGTAATATAAAGACATATTTTAACCAAGCATTTCAGCTCAGCTGGTTGTGAACTAACCGTGCCTAGTGAGAGGTCACGAGTTCGAAATCCGCTAGGCACATAAGGGTTCGAAACTCAATGAAGTGAGTTTCGACTTTGATTACACCAGGCCCCCTCTCCAAACCCCAGAGTAATAAAACAAAAACAAAAAAGGAAAAATTGATTGTAATAATCCCAACTATTGGCGGGTCCGCTTATAATAATCCCAACTATCGATTATTTCAGAATAATCCCAACTTTAGGGTTCTTCCGCCAATAACAGTCCCTGTACATAAATTCATGTACTTTCTAAAGTGGATGAGAAGAGATATAGCTAGTAATCTCTATAAATAATCCCAACTTTTAATTTTTACGTTTAATTTCTATTTAAAATTCACTTTTATAGAAAGTAATATTTGGTCATGGACCATTATTGGCGGATGGTCCATATAGTTGGGATTATACAAAAATAATCAATAGTTGAGATTATTATTTTCAATTTTTCCAAACAAAAAAGGCATTTTAAGAAATTGTTCAAGATAGTGTTAGTAATGATAACTCACAAAGCCATCAATTTGCCATTAAGATGTCGAACCGCCCGATTCAAAGAAGATTTGAAGATGGTGTGCTGAAAGAAGGATGGACAGGTAGACCAGGTAGTTCTTTCTGTTTGACAATTACTGGCCATAGATCTTTCCTTAATTTCCTAGAATGGCTTGATCTTAGTAGATCTTTCAGTAAATCGTTTTAATTACCCATGCGAAAAATAAGAGAAAATAAGTTTTCTCTATACTCTTATTGACAAATGCCCAAGATTTTTCATTTGTGATTCATTCATCAATATTCCACCTTGTCTTTGTGTTTCATTCATAACTTTCGTTGCTTAAAATTGCTAACTTGAAATTGGTTCTGTAATACATTCATCTGAAAAAGGTGTCTCAACCGTGGCCAGTAGCTTGTTCTGATAGATGCTGCCAAAGGAGATCCACCAGATTTGATCAAATACGGAGCAGTCTTTGTTGTCATCTCGTTTTACATGGTACATCTAACATCAAAATACGTCCTTTATTTAACTATAAACTACTAGTCTATCAGAGACACCTAATCATTGTGTTGATTAGTTTATCTTCTTTGTTCTTTAAGGTGTTCAGATACTCAAGTAGGCTTGGTTTGCTATTGGTTAGAACTGGTAATGAGTGGATGTGTGTTGTTATCCTTTTTTTCATGTTCATCAATTTAATAACGGTTATAGGTCGCCAGGTCTTGTGGCACATATTTGGGGTTGCTGATGAGTTTGTGTGTTGTTACCAGAACGTCGGGTGTGAGGGGATGAGTTATTGTTGCCCAGAGACTCGGCAGAGAGCGGACACAAACTGCGGCGTAGGCGGCAACAGCAAATTGTGCAGACATGGATCACATAGCCACTCAAGGTAAATTATTTCATGATGGTTAAAAAAATAAATTGCATCTTTCAAAATTGTGCCACCTTTTCTGTGCCCACTTTGTTTCAGCAACCCAAACAGCTCGGGTTCTGGTAGAATTTTTGGAAGTGGCCATCAACTCCGTTATCTTCCTCAAAGGCGTCTACCCGACTGGTAGGTTCATCTTGCAGCATAACTTCCTTCCTGTCACGACACACACACACACACATGAGTGAATGAGTAGGTTTCAAGTTTCAGGGGCATTTGAGAGGCGGCGATACCTGAATGTAGTGGTTCATAAATCTCGCCATCCTGAGCTTAGGGACTATATTCACTCCTCTGTCAATGGCCTCCTTCCTTTCATCCAAAAGGTTTCTAATTTCTTTCTCAAATTTATTTGATGACAAATTTACACTTGTTAGGTATATGTTTTTAGTTTACTTTAATGGTGTTGAAGTTCTCTTGATGTAGGGGGAGGTGGAGAGAGTTGCAGTAAATTTTTTTGATAACCAAAATGTTCCAATAGAGAGGTTTGTTTTTAAGATAGATGTGAAGCAGTCTTATGGTTCGAGTGTGGAAGAAGAAGGTGCTGCTGCTGCTGCTGACCTAGAACTCTCATTTAGGTCTTTCTTGATTAAGCTTGCCAGTTCATATTCTCTGACTCACACTCTTCCTCCTGGTAAACCTTATTTCATGCCTATCTTTCCACAAACCTCAAGACTTCAGGATTCCTATCACATTGGCATTACCAGACACTCATATGACAATACTAATACAATATTTTCTAAACATGACATAGGGTGAAAACGTATTACTCCCATTAGGGCAATTTCTTTTACTCCCTCGTCTCATTTAAAGGTTCCCACTTTCCTTTTTTGAACGGCCCACTTAAAGTTTCCATGTTTTATTTTAGGAAACAATTAACACTCTTAAATAACAATTTAATCATCAAATAATAAAAATAATACATTTATAATATCAAAGATATCTTGTATAGTCCATTATATTATATACTCATCATCAAAAATATTTCTCAAAATATAGTCGCATTAGCATATTTAATTATTGTCTACATAATAGTGTCATTTTGCAATAAGAACCTTTAAACGGGACAAAGGTAGTATTATTATTGTGATATTGTGATTGTGATTGTTATTATTATTATCACTACTGCTAATATTACTAACAGTACTAATAATATTAGGTATTTTCGGATTAAATCTAAATTCTTAGTATGATACTAGACAGAAAATATTCAATCTGAAAATCCTAACGAAACGACAAAGTAGATGGATTAACTTTGCTTTTAAATTTGGTGAAAGAGTGTTAGATAAAATATAGTAGCATTCCAAAAGAGCATCTCAAAGTTAAGTTGTATGCCATCTCTGATCACAGATTGCAGGTGGGAAATAACTGGTTACTTTCGAGCTCTCCCAGATAGCCGTAGTAGTGCAAGTAGAATATGGGTTTCCACAGGCACCAAACAGTGGCAGCAACCACCTGTGATTATGCCAATCAAGTCAATGAAGAGTGAAGCGCTTGTGCTGCAACTCTATCTAGAACATCCCCCAACTCCCCTCCATCAAAATCTTTCACTTTCCTAAGACTTGATCTTGAATCTTTCCCAGTGGTTGAGCTAAGGGCTTCTCTCGACATATATGAATGCAAGACAAGATGTTTGATGGAGATTTTGTTAAGCTGATATTTTAGAAACTTTATGAAGCGCACATTACATGAAAGCTAGCAACTGTGATTTTTATATTGAAAATTTTGACAATAATAATCTCACTTTTACTTAATCTCAAAATAATTCCACTTTTACCCTTCATTTTTTTGTCCATAATGGTTGTTGTCTTGTTGATGTGGTATTCTAGGTTTTTACCTTTTCCTTGAAAAATAAATAAGTAATCTCATCTTTCACTCGTCATCTCAAAATAGTTCATGTATCATTTTTCTTTCTTTTCCCTAATAATTTGCTTTCTTTATTTTTATCGCTGACATTTTTATTCCCTTCCAAGTTCCAAGCCTTTTTCTTTCTTCCTTTTCCTAGGTATTCTATTTATCGCTCTATTAGATTTATATTCACAAATAGATTTTTTGCCTTTTTCTTCTTCCTTGTATTTTTGTTGTTCTCTTTTTATGTATCTCTCTTCTAATTCATTCTTGTTTTACCTTAATTCCACCTATGTTAAGGGCTCACATTACATAATTGTAGACTCCCAAAAATGTGACTTACCATTTTGGTATAATTGGAACTCAAAACAAAAAAATGACTTGTTTATACATTTCCCAAAAAATGTGACTTACTATATTATTTATCCCCCTATTTAATATTACATTTATTATTGTTATATTTCAATTTTATAAAGGGAAAGTATAGCAAACAAAAGAATACGTCGAAAGTAAAAAACGAGTATTAGAGTCTCCAATACTAAAACGTGCACGGTGCACATGTGGCATGAGAGATAGTTAATTAAAAAATAATAAATAGAATATCTCTCTCCTTATTTGAAGGATCTTGTATCATTTTGGTAAGTTTTTCTTCACAATGTCAAGCACAATGTCTAGATGTAAACGTTGTGCTTGACATTGTAGAGAAAAACTTACCAAAAACACATAAAACCGTAGAAAGAATGAGAGAGAGATGTCATAAATTCAATTTTTTTGTGTCTATCTCTCTTATACCGCATGTGCACCGTGCACATAATAGCATTGGAGATGCTCTTATAACTTAATATTAATAGTACTCCATCTGTCCCTAGGGGTGGATCGGGCCCTGCCCGATTCCAGTTCGGGCCTGGGCCCGACCGGGCTTGGATGGTTTTGGATAAGGCCTGAACCGGCCCAGGAGTCTACCGGTTCCGGTTCAATTTTTTGTGTGTTTTCTTATTTATTTCAACCCTCACCCCCCCCATCCCCCCCAAACCCCTCAGAAACACCCAGAGCCCACCTAAACCCAGCCCAAACCCAAAAAAACCAAAAAAAAAAAGGCCCGAACCGGCCGGGCCGGTTCGCCTTTTTTATCACCCGAAACCAGAACCAGTTACCCCTCGGACCGAGCCTAAGCCCGGAACGGGTTTCCCGGGCCGGGCCAGTTTCACACAGTAGCAGGCCGGGCCAGTTTCACACAGTAGCAGGCCGGGCCGGGCGGCCCAAACCGAGTCCATGCCTATCTGCCCCCATATTATTGTCTGAATTCCCATTTACTTTATCAACACAAATCACTCTTAATCTTTTGCTTTAAATATCAAATATTTATCAAATTTGATTCTAGTTTTTGCGATTTTGTAAATTTTTTAATGTAGTTTCTGAATATGTGTTTTTTTCTAAAAATAATTTGAGTGTGGACAAGAACTACATATGATTAAATGTGATAATTCAATCATTCATGTGTATATGTATTTTATAGACAAAAAAACAATATTACTTTACATATTTATGCAAAAATATAGATAAGAATGCAATTTTTGTCTCCGACTAGTCCCCGCCTAGGCGTCTAGGCTAGTGCCCGACTAACGCCTAACGCCTTTTAGAACATTGAATCTTATGAAATGCATGCACAGTGTGCTGTGTTACAGACTTAATGGAGACAGATTTCCACACCATATACATTTCTCATCTCTATATTTTATGATCTTATCTACAGAAAGCTATGGGTGAAGTCCCAAGCTGTAACATTATTCCGGAATTTCGCATATCCCCCGCCCCAAAAAAATGCCCATTAAAAATACAGCATAACAAAGATACCTTAAGTGAAACACAGCACTACCTATTACATACATACTAGCAATGCAGAACAAGGCAAAAGCATGTTGCACACCCAACCACAGGCTACCAAAAAATGAAAAACCATTGTCTTCAGTTGTAAATTCATTCTGGAAACTCCAGAGATGGATTCCTACAAAAAAAATCAAACAGAAACTCAGATGCCAATCATAAATAAGTGATGGTGTAATAATGTCACAGAGTAAAACACCGACGATAACATGTAAGTATATTAGAAACCGTCAAAAGATAACATTTTACAATGTATCAAGTCTAGATCAAAATGCTACCTAAGCTAGAATTTCTAACTTAAATACAGAGTAAAACACCGAAAAATTGGGGGAAGGGGTATATTGGTAACTTTTTAGATACTCTATAATTAAACATGAGAGACATAAGTAAATTCAATTATATTGTCACGCCTAAAAAAGTCATTGTATGCTAAAAATGGTAAGAGATGAAAAACTCCAACTATGCAAGGTTGGAGTTTCAGAAATAAGTAGAATAATATTGTCTTTGATGTTTTTACAAATGAGAGAGAAATAAGCAAAACCACGAATTAGTTATGGGAATGTGACAAAGATTTTGACAAAACCAAAAAAGGAAAGTTTACAAAAGTCCAATAGGACGTAGGGAGTATAATGTGGCGCGTCAAAATATATTGTTATCTACTTTAAAATTGCAGGAATGATGTATATCCTTTAGTGTACTGAAATGTAATTGTAACCGTTATATTTCAATATCTAAAGACCATTAGCCAAAACTGAGCACCCCCCTTTTTCCTTGTGGAAAGATTGGTAAACTCTCTCCATGCCGTAAATGAGAATTGTGTGTTTCATTAAGGTACAACCTTTCAACTAGGATAAGGTACATCTCATGTAAACTATCTATCCTAATTATATTTATAAAATTTATTTGTTTGTTAAACTAAACTTGTCTGGAATAAGCTTTGAAACACAGCTGTACTTATCTATCTGATGAAAGGAGTAACAATTTAAAAGGTGGGTAATACTGGGGAGCAACTAACGAATAATCAAATCAAGACAAAAATTAGAGAGTCGCAATTAAGGCCAGGAAGTTGATGACTTGGCTTTCCAGTTTCAAAAAGACTTAACTCCATGTCATGTGTGGCAGACCAACCAGGTTCGTAGGTCTCAAGAAATCCAAGCTTTGCCTTGTTTGGAAGATCATGTGGATGAGCAAACGGGACTCCTTGTGGCCACCCTATCTCCATTCTAATGGAAGCACACGGGCTGTCAGTAGATTGAATATGGGTCTCACAATCCTTCAGGTTGCAGAACTTCATCTTTATGCCCTTCTTATCCGCAATGTCCTGAACTCTCTCCTTGAGAACTCTCTGTGCCTCCAGCCGTAACCTCTTTGAAGGAGGAAGAGCTTTAGATCTTGATTTGTTCTTCCTTTTCGTTGTTTCGGATGTCCTCATAGATCCTGTAACCAGCATTTCATTGATCCGCCAACTTCCTATCGTTAAAAGATTCTCACTAAAGAATGGAGTGGTAAAGAACCAGTTTAAAATTGTGATATTTTTAAATTCAGAAAACTACTAAGCCCTGTTTAGTAGCATTATTCAGATAGTTTTGCTTGCTAGCAGATTAATGAGAATACGTAGCCTTCACTTATTTGGCTATCAATCACTTTTTGTTTCAGAAAAATAAGCAGATTCAGATTATCCATTTCATACAAACAAACCTTACCAAACCAGGGCCTATTCTTCACATTTCTGAAAACTTTTCCAAAGAACGTTATTTTTCACATTTCTTTTCCAGAAATGAGATGAAAACTAAATTATTCAAATTTGCATTGATGTTCAATTATGACAATGAAGTTCACAACTATAGGTCTACAAGCAAAGCTACAAATTTCCAGTAATTTAGACACACTTCTGTTTCATCTAAAGGCATTACATGTGGAGCATCCAGGCCAAAGTCCTTCAAATTAACATCTACTCTTTTGAACATGGACTCATTTTACAAAAGAACACAACCACATTGTTTAAAGTGGACCTCTTTCAATTGGGATATTAATGATATAATGTCGGCCTAACAAAAATACACCATTTTAGGAATAAAAATTAGGAGAGGGAAGCTAGTCACGTGGTATTTGTTACTCCATTTAAAATACGTAGTATAAAATAGGATTCCAGGTAATATTACAAGTTAATTTTTAGTACTACTTAGAAAAAATGAAGTTGCAGTGCCTACCGTCTTGTGTGGTGGGGAAACTGAAAGTGGGAAAATTGTTCCTACTGAGAAGTTGATCAGTTGATCGCTGCATGAAGTCATCTACAGGTAGAGGTAGTTGAAAATGAGCTTCAACGCCATAACCAGCAGCTCTCATCTCAGAACAGTTCAGACTAGCTACGGATTTAGGCATGAGTTTAAAAGCCAGTGAACATATTCCTCCATGCAGATGATGCCCCTGCAGATTGCCAATATCCATCCTATGAACAGCGGTGCTGATATTTCCCGCAGTTGCCTGGTACAAAGCAAGTCCTGTATAAATGATTGCTTCTTGTGGTCCAAGGTCAGCATCCACAAGAACCCAACGACCATGAAAATCTCTGACATGTAATCCCGGCCTATCTGTCTTGAGAATAGTTAAAAGGCTTCTGTCAACCTGATGCTCGTGATCCGATAGCATAACCAACTGATCACCACCATCTTGACCCGTCAGATTATGGTGTTGAAAAGATGGCCTTCCATGACATGAAACAGATAAAACCGAAGATGATATCTCACGATTCCTCAAAGGTACATTATCAAGAATTTCAGTGAAGGGTGAGCTGCGAAGGTTTAAGTAGAAACTAATGGCATCCAGTACGTATCTAGCAGTTTTGCCAAGTAATGCAAACACGTCCGCTAACCCAGCCGGTGGAAATTCACCTCCATCGTTGGGGTCAGTAGGAGTTAATCCTGGTCGGTAATCAAATGTTTCTTGCCATAGTTGCGGATCTGAATGGTAGCCAGACGTCTTGCACCACTCCCGAGAATCATCAGGATGAATCACTTCATCTGTGGAAGGGTATGAAGGCTTTTGGTGAAAGTAGAGTCGGACAGACTCAAGACAAGACCTTAAGAGAGCACCATCGCTGGTGGGTAGCTTGATAATGGCTGCCGAATAGTGAGCTAATGATTGGGACAGGGTAGAGGCTGATAATTTGTAGGAATCGGAAGGAAGGCCTTCTGATGGAATTAGGTCAACAAGCGTGACACGGCCCAGAGTTGGCAGGTCATTGCCTGCCATGGAAACTTATTTATTTAAGGATGCTTTATAGATGCCAAAATTACTCAAGAACAGATTGATAAAGGCATACGATTTATTTTTATCCTCTAAATTCTAGTGTGAACTCTATGAAGCTCCTAACCTGGGGAGAAATCGGGTGCCTCGACCGGCCCCGGCCGTGGTGTCAACAGGCTTGGTCTGAAGTGAAATTCTGTTTCTTCTTTTCCGGTGATGGAGAGATGTTGGGCTGCAGGCTAGCTGGGTCAGATGCACAGCAGGGGTTGTGGTCTGGAAGATGTCCGCATATATGAATCCGTTGTTAAAACTTTGGAAGGTTTTTTCTGCAGAACGGAGGCGACGAGGGGGAAGCTGCAGAAGTATGCCTTAAACGGTGATCAGATCGGTTTTGGAGCTGTCACATCTCATTGTTTATCCATGGACATTGAAAGGAATGATGACTCGTATTTTACTCCCTTAAAACTGTGGGCTTTTACTAATATAATAAAAATTGTATGATTGAGTCTCTCGAAAAGAAAGAATTAATAGAAAACACAATTTTTTATTTAAAGTTGAAAGTGACAAAACAAATGAGACATCCAAAAAAAGAAGTTGGCAGAGTTACAGGGGACGGGACGAGTACTTCTCACTTCATAATAAGGACTTTTGCCCTCAATATTACAAAAATGGGGATAAAAGACAAAAAATTGACTTCTTTTTTATATTTCCAAAAATTTGAGCTACTTCACTATTATACCCTGCAGTGACAAAGTGACTCTGACTAAAGTGACTTCGGCCACCGGCCACATGTGAGCCACGCCACCAGGTATCCTGCTGACCGGCATGCTACCTGCAAAAAGTTGGTTTTAACAAAAAATACAAAGTAGGAGGACCTAAATGATGAAACTTAAAGTACGAGGGTTAAATTGACTTTCCGTACAAACTAAGAGGGCCAATTTAACACTTTTCTCTTCAAAAAAAAATCTTAAGAACAAAAATAGGACAATTTCAAAAGCTTACAACAGTCTTACGTATATGACATTTATGCCTTAAGGGTATACCTGCTGAGTAGTAGGATGAGCCGTGAGCTAGAGCTGAGCTGCAGTGCTCAACTGGTTCCCGAGAAGAATGTTATGCAAGTTGGTCAAGAGAGTGTTGATAGTTGCTAAGCCACAGAAGGGTCTTGGATCATGAGGTCGACATGAGCGAGTTGAAGTTGGCGCACCTCCAGAGTCGTTGTGCTCTGTCTCATATCACGTGTCTTTTGCTGGACAGTTCCCCCGCAAATCCACAACAACTCGTTTCTCGAGAGAATTTTGCCTGGAATGGTCTCCATATTTTTCTCCAGGTCTAGAGCAGTGGGAGCTGAGGAAACCGCAGCCTTCGATTGAACTATGCGACCCATTTCAGCAAATGAATCGAACAAACTAGAGAGGTTATAACTTGTACTGCCCGAGCCTATGAACAAGAGCACCAAATGAGGGTATTAGAAGCCCGAGGTAGTAGAAAAGTAGAGAGAAGTTAAAGCAAATTTGGGGGTGAGGAAGTTGTGTAATAAATTTTGTAAAATTTATAGATATAGTACAAATTTGGGGGAGAGAAATCTATCTCATATTTAATTCTTTTAGGTATAAGATAAATTAGATAACAATTTAGCAGAATAATTTTTTCTTTCATATGTTACCACTAATTTAACTAATGCGCAACAAGTTCTTATTTAACTAATATCGTTAAGTTTAATATTTATTGTATTCACTTAAATTTTATGTCACTCACTTATTGCCCCTTCTTAGAATAGTAATTAATCATTAAAATTAACAAGTAGCAAATTCTAATGAGTGGTGTCAATTAGTTTTCCATAATATACTTTTCATAATATACTTTTCATCGAATATTTATTGTGTGGGCTTATACTTTATGGTATTAGCTCATTGTACTCTTATTTTTCGAAAATGTGGAATCCAAAAAAGTTATTTTTATTTTAATATTTATTTAGATCATAAGTAAAATATGTGCACCAATTGCTCTTTCCCGTGCGTATGCACGGGTACAAATTTTTGCAGATGTACTTATGTGATCCAAGTGAAGAAACTTCAAATAGACTTAAAGTTGTCAGGTAAATAAATTGATTAAATATTTTTACCCATTTAGTTATACTATTGATAACTTCAAAAATTCAGAATTTTATAAATAAATAATAAGTTGATTCCATGAATTTTTAATTTTTTAATGACAAGCTTTATATGATTAAACTTATACATCCTCCATGCGTAAGTAAATGCAACGGTCAACATTTCACATTTGCCGATACACAACTTTGACTATTATAATAATTCTCAATCACAAAAAAAATTTAAAAAAATATTTTGAAAATTCATGATTAGACAAATTTATCAATATTTTTTTTCCAAAAGTATATATTAATGCATGAGTAAATAAAACATAGTCAAAGTAGAACATGTGAATAGTGTTAAATTCAATATGTTGCATTTATTTAATAACGGAGGTAGTACATAATGCTAAATTCATCTGATTATATCTACTTAAATCATTAGAATAATTATTTTAACCTATTTAGAAATACTGTTTTTAATTTCAAAATTTCAGAAAGCTTTTTATATACATAATAAGATGGTTCCATGTTATTTATTTATTTATTTATTTATTTTTTATTTATTTATTATGACAAACTTTATATGGTTAAACTTATAATTAATGCTAATCTCTTATGAAAATATCTACTTTACCTACAAATACAGAAGTGAGGGTGGTACAAAATTGCATGATGCATTGGTGTCGGAGTTGACACATATGCTTGACACGTACAATGTTCATGCACAGTCATTTAGGATGGCAAGGGATAGATTTAATGCATCAAACTCCACGACGTTGAAAATGAGAATTATTGGGAAAAGGAGTTCGGATGGACGCACGTATAATACTCCAAGCGTTTCTGAAGTAGCGGCTTTAATTGAAGGGGACTTTGACATAAATAGAAAAGAGAGAGATGTTGTCCTGTAAACAAAATCTGGGACATTTCAGTTTGTGACCGAACTGAACCCTTCCTTTTTAGGCTTGCAATACCCACTACTATTTCCTTACGGTCAAGATGGCTTCAGAGAAGACGTTCTGTTGACGTGTGCAATAGAGGATAGCAATTATAACGGATGGAGAAAATTTGCCACAATGAAAGAATTTTTTTCATACAGGTTGCAGGAACGCAAAGGTGAAACCCCATATCTATTGAGATGTCGAAGGTTGTTTCAGCAGTTTGTGGTTGATGGATATACAATGATCGAGTCATATTGATTGCAATTCATAAGATTCCATCAGAAAGAGATTCGAAGTGAATTGTACAGCGGTTTAGCAAATGCTGTTGTTCGAGGGGAAACAAGTGCATCTAGGACGGGCCAACTTATTGTTCTTCCTCCTACGTTCATTGGTAGTGCGCGTTACATGATGCAAAATTACCATGACGCTATGGCTATATGCCGATGGGCAGGGTATCCAGAACTTTTTATCACATTCACTTGCAACCCGAGATGGCCAGAAATTATTCGTTTCGTTGAGCAAAGAGGGCTCAATCCAAACGATCGCCCCGACATCCTTTGTAGGATCTTTAAAATGAAGTTGGATTTGCTCATTAAAGATCTAAAACAAAATAAGTTGTTTGGGGACGTCAAAGCAGGTACGTGAATGTCAAAACATTACATACTGACGTGATTTATTTGCACAAGTTATATAACTTGGTTAACATCCATAAATGTTTTTTTAAATATTTCTAAACACGAGAAACTAAACTTCTTCCATTTAATGTGCAGTTGTATATACTGTGGAATTTCAGAAGCGTGGTTTGCCACATGCCCACATAGTTTTGTGGCTGTCTCAAAAGAAAGGAATTATGTGTGCCTCAGATATTGACAAAATCATTTCTGCTGAGATTCCAGATGAGTGTTCAGACTCTGCTCATTACAATGCAGTCAAATAATTTATGATCCATGGACCTTGCGGCCATCTTAACAAGTCTTCGCCGTGTATGAATAAAGGTAAATGCACGAAGCATTTTCCAAAGAAGTTCAACGAGCGCACTAAAATGGATAAAAGTGGATATCCTATATACAGACGGAGGAGGAATGAAAGACATGTCGTGAAGAATGATTGTCATCTAGACAATAGATATGTAGTCCCGCACAACCGTAATTTGTTGCTCAAGTATGAGGCACACATTAATGTTGAATGGTGCAGCCAGTCACGAGCGGTGAAATATCTATTCAAATACATAAATAAAGGTGATGATCGAATCACAGTCGCATTCTCCGAGGCAGCAGATAGCTCTAAGCAGCAGAAAATTGATGAGATCAATAAGTACTATGATTGTCGGTACATCTCTGCTTGCGAGGCTGCTTAGAGGATTTTCGGATTCCACATACACTATAGGGATGTGCCAGTTGAGCATCTTAGTTTTCATCTGCCCGGTGAGCAAAATGTGTATTATAGTGCAGATAAATCTGTCCAAGACGTCCTATCGAATCATATGATTCACGAGACAAAATTTACTGCATGGATGAGAGCAAATCAAGTATACCTTGAGGCCAGAAAGTTGACATATGTGGACTTCCCTAGCAAATTTGTGTGGAAGAAAAAGATTAAACAGTGGGTGGAAAGACAGCGAAGTTTTGCGGTTGGACGTGTCTACTTCGTTCGCCCTGGAGCAGGTAAACAATAATTGTAATTTAGATTAACACGGTTCTTAATCAAACTAAAATATTTTTAGATTTCAATGTTGTTTGGTTCAGTTAATTAAAGTTTACCCTCGAACATGTATCTTAAAATATTCTTAAAAAATTAAAGTTTATTAAGCCACTGAATATATTAATTGAGGTTTAATGATGAATTGTTCATGAATATAACTTTCATGAAGGTGATATTTTTACAATGTGCAGTGAGATTATCCTATAATTATCATAGTCCTATGGTATTGTTTTTTGCGTTTCCTTATATTGTGATTTGAGTGTACTTTGTTCGCTCTGGAGCAGGTGAAAAATACTACTTACGCACCCTATTAAACTGGGTAAAGGGACCAAGAAGTTTTGATGAGTTAAAAACAGTTGACGGCATATTATATCCCACATTTAGAGATGCTTGCTATGATCGGGGATTGCTTTTAGACGACAATGATTACATTCAAACCATCAGCGAGGCAGGTCTATTTTCAACCGCACCTTCATTGCGTGAAGTGTTTGTCACTCTACTCATTGTGGGCGCACTGTCAAAGGCGGACTTGGTCTGGGAGAAATGCCGTCAGTATTTCTCAGAAGATATATTGTACAATATGAGAAGGGCACTAAATGATCCAGGTATATGTGGGTTTTGATATAGTCAATTAAAAGTATCTCACTTGGAATTTGACTTTTTATGATTTAAATATGTAACTTTTAATGTAAATCACATACCTAATATGGCTAATATTTTCTGTAGAGCACGAAATGGATGATGGGGAGACAGAGAAATACTGTTTAGTGGAGATAGAGAAAATTCTCCAGCAACGAGGAAGATCATTACGTGACTTTGTTGGAATGCCATTGCCTCCTGACTCATACATGCCTTCGATGGAAGATGTTCTCATTAATGAGGAAATGAAATATGATAAATGTGCTTTGACTGAGGAGCATGAAAGTTTGATGGCTGATATGAATGATGAGCAACATGCTATATATGAGGAAATCTTGAAATCTGTACACAGAAAAAGTGGCGGTGTATTTTTCGTGTATGGATATGGTGGTACTGGAAAAACATACTTATGGCGGACTTTGTCTGCGGCGCTCAGGTCCAAGGGGCAAACAGTACTCAATGTGGCATCTAGCGGTATTGCATCACTGCTTCTACCAGGAGGAAGGACCGCACACTCCAGATTCGCCATTCCACTGGATGCAACAGAAGATTCTACATGCCACATAAAGCATGGAAGCCCATTGGCGAGGCTCATCGAACGTACAAGGTTGATCATTTGGGATGAATCGCCAATGACACATAGGTACATATTTGATGAATAATAAATGCACAAATTACATCACATTCAAAATGATTCAATCAGTTGTAAAATGATCTGCAGGTTTTGCTTTGAAGCACTTGATCGTAGCATGAGAGATGTCCTTCGCTACTCACATGATTGTGATTCTACCATTCCCTTTGGTGGGAAGACAGTCGTCTTTGGCGGGGACTTCAAGCAAATATTGCCTATCATTCCAAAGGGCACAAGACAAGACATTGTGCAAGTGGCTTTGAATTCATCATTTTTGTGGTCATACTGCAGGGTCTTGAAGTTGACAAAGAATATGAGACTCGGGCGCGTGGGAGGAACATCTTACACATTATAGATTCAAAACTTTGCCGAGTGGATATTGAAGATTGGAGATGGAGACCTGGGGGACTGTGATGATGGAGAATCAATGGTTGACATCCCTGAAGAATTTATTGCTCCTATGACGGATGATCCAATTGAAGCTATTGTTAAGATCACCTATCCCGATTTTGAAATGCACTGTAATGACGTTTCTTATTTGAATTCAAGGGCAATTCTTGCACCAACAATTGATGAGCGCGACATGATCAACGATTACATGTTGGGATTGACTCCAGGTGAGGTAAAGACATACTTAAGCTCAGATTCAGCATCATCTTCTGACTCAGACAGTGCACTCCTTCAAGAGATCCACTCTCCCGAATTTCTCAATACCATTAAATGCTCTGGTGTGCCAAGCCATGAGCTGAAGCTCAAAGTGGGTGCACATGTGATGCTAATGAGGAATATTGATCATTCCTCCGGATTGTGTAATGGCACTCGCCTAATCGTCACTAAACGTGGAACCCATATTCTCGAGGCTCAGATGATGTCAGGAACAAATGCAGGAAAAAGATTTCTTATTCCGAAGCTTAGCTTGACTCCATCCGACCTCAAGCTGCCGTTCACATTTCAGCGTAGACAGTTTCCCTTTGATGCTTAAGCAATGTTTGCGATTGCTTAAAAAAAGCGCTTTTCAGCTTTTGGCTTTAAAAAAGCTAAAAAGAGTGTTTTCAAATGACAGCTTCTGCTTAAATTAATCACTTAAAAGCTAAAAGCTGGAAGCAGGTGGAAGGGTGCTTTAAACTGCTTTTCACTTTTTCTATTACACAAAAAGTACTTATTTTACCAAACATTACCAACTTTTACTTTTTCAGAATCACTTTTTTCTCAAACACTACCAACTTTTACTATTAATCACTTTTCCCAAAATCACTTTAAAAAATCACTTTTTTAAAGTTGAAGCAATTACAAACACTCCCTTAGTTACGTGATGACAATTAATAAAAGTCAGGGCCAGTCTTTGGAGAGGGTTGGTGTTTTCTTACGTCGCCCGGTATTTACCCATGGATAACTTTACGTCGCGGTCTCAAGAGTGACGTCCCCATTTGGGTTGAAATTTGTTATACGTGATGATGATGGAAAACCGGCCAAGAAGACTATAAATGTGGTTTAAAAAGAAGTATATAACAATTTGTAATTTTTTTATATTTATTTACTTTTGTTACAAACAATATATACATTGATCTCTATTTGTCACAACATTTTCTTATGTTCTCAAATTTTTTATTGCTTACTTCCTGCATCCCGTGCGAAGCATGGGTGAAAATGTAGTTTATGTTAATCACCTTGCTTACTATAGAGCATAGATTAACAAGTTTTGTCAAACCCTCTGGGGGGCGAGCGAGTAAATTTAATTTTGTCGTTCAGCCCTGAATCGTTATCCAGGAGCACTAGTTGAATTTAATGTTTCCAGCGTTCCCAATATATGAAATACTGATAATTACTCAACATCAATTTTATTTCCTACCGATGAATTCCACATCTACTTAACGTACTCCGTGCAAATCCCCGCTCCTCAGAAACCCTAGAATTTATCGGCAAAGGGTCATCATCTCCGTTTGTCTGTCCGCCTGGTTTCAGTTTTGACCTTTCCAGATTCATTTTATCATCTTCTTGATCTTATTCATTTTTGTTTGTTTTTTTGTAGTGAATTTATTTTCGCACAAAGTTTCGTTGTTAAGGATGGGGGTTTTATTACATCATGTAAACTCTTTACGAGGGGTTTGCGTTTTTTAACAGGAAAATTTTGGGTTTCTGTAAATTTGGAAAATATAAACTCTAGTGTAGTTCGCTTTTTCGGTAAAGCTTCCGGCCGTTGTTTAGTTCGGTTGGACATGGACAAATTTAACCGTCCAGGTGGTCTCGAAGACGCTCATAATAATCAAGATCTCAAGCAAGTTGATTCAAATCCACAAGGTTCACTATCATCTCTCGACCTATTTTGTTACGTGAACTTTTTAAACCATCTATCCGTAATTGAATGTGGTTGGTGTTTCTGTTGGGTTCTTCTGGACTGTATTCCAGAGGCAATGATATACTCGATCAGTTTCAAGAACTAATCTTTACACGGTTTATGTTTTCTGGTCTCGGTTGTGGTGGTGTAAAGTGGATACAGATACTTATTGGCTAAGACGTTTTCCATTCTTAGATGTTAGGTTGCACAATCATTAATAGAGAAGAAACATTAAACGTAGTTTCTTGAATGTCATTCTCAATTAGATATTCTCAAGATTTTGATTGTCATTTCCAATCAACTATTCTTTTGATTTTCACCTTACTATTTTTTTTGTAGCATTCAATACAGTTTGAATTCCTCGAATGATTTGCAGCTTACTTTTTTTTTGTAGCATTCAATACACTTTGAATTCCTTGAATGATTTGCATAGCTCAGTTATCTCATAATCGCTCTCTTTGTTTTAGACATTAACTCTGTGGTTTTCTGGTCCAGGAAATGCTCTATTTGACGCATCACAGTATGCGTTCTTTGGTAATGATGTAGTTGAAGAAGTTGAATTGGGGGGTTTAGAAGATGAAGAGGAAGATGATGATCCTCTCCCACCTGGTTTTGACAGAAACGAATATCTGTCGGAGCAAGAAGAGGTGGGTTGCATTGGTCATGAGCCACCCAGTTTTTGTTGGTTTAAATAGGAAGGGGAGTTTAGGCGCACTGGTTAAGGTGTTGTTGTGTGACCAAGAGGTCTTGGGTTCAAGCCTGGGGAGCGGCCTCTTGTCAAAATTTTGACAAGGGAATGCTAGCCCATTACACACCCTGTGGCGGGACCGCGGGACCTTTCCTTGACCCTCGTGGCCTTGCGGGTATGCCTTCGTGCATTTGGATGCCCATATATACAACTAGCAAGCTATTCAACTTGAAAATTTTACTGGACTACTGTAGTTGTTACTGTATTTAGAGAGGAAACATAGATGTTGAGGAATCATGTCTCATTTAAAGACTGAATAGCCATGATTTTTCATTAACGTCAACTGCAATTATCTAGATTAGTGTCATAACCATCCCACCAGAATGGATTGTCTAATTATGATTTCTGGTGTTCACAACTCATTTGGGGTTAATTTCCAGAATCTGAAATGAACTTTGGAGCTCAAGTTAACAATTATTTCATTCTTGCAGGTTGAAATGCTAACAACATATTCTGATGTTGACGATCTTAGTAGCACATTTTCAAAGGTAAATCATCCAACACATAAAACGAGTAAACCCGATTCATTTTTATCCTTTCCTTAACTCATTTGGAGTGATCTGTGAAATTTATATTTGACCTTGTTCTTTTTCCCTAATCAAGGTATCTTAAACTATTGACCAGTGTATGTCAGTGCTAATTATTCATCCCCAACTAACCTTAGAGCTGTGTACTAGCATTTGAAGTAGGATACTGCAATGCCAGTGTATTCTCAGTCAATCCCATCCATCTTGATTACCTTAGTTCCAACTGTGTCCGAAGTCAATGGCATCATCTTGATTACCTTAGTTCCAACTGTATCCGAAGTCAATGGCATCATCTTTGTAATGTGTCAAAATATTGTCTATAATCAGTGACCACTATAAATTGATTAAATTCAGGAAAGGTTAGTTACACTTTAGTCTTAAGAAAGAGCAATGACATCAAATTCCTAATCTGCCTTCATCACAGGGGTTTCCTTCTGCTTGAGAAATATCCCAAGAGGATAACAATCAATTGAAATATCTGCAAGTCATGTCCCATTCAATAATGACAATGTAAAGTCAGCATCATTACTTTATGGAACATTGCTGTTATTTCGTCATATTGTTACCAAAAGAACTCAGGGAAATAAAAAATGTCTCATTAAAATCTATTGCCGTCTTCAATCATACAATTAAATCCCGATTCTTCATCTTATACAGTTCTCTTACAGATTTACTCAATAGCTATCTCAAGTGGTCGTATTTTGTTCCTTGTCTCAATATTCTTGTTTTTTAATTAGCAGTTGAACAGAGCTGTTGGAAGGCCAGTAACAGCGGCATTTTTTGGAGGTAGAGAATCTAGAGAAAGTAAGTTTTGCGTTGTTTGTGCTGTTTTTTATTGCTTCATATATGGCTTTTGACCTTATAATAATTGGTTCACATTTTGGTTCCTATGTCAATTTAGGGGGTGTTCGGTTAAGCATAATTCATGGAGCGTAATTGATTTTTTGCAGTCTGCATGCTGAAGTTCACAAACTCAATTTCATTTTATAATGAAAATGTAAAGCCTATATATTTAACTAAGTTATGTTTTTTTTCGGACTTTTGGCTCTTCAAGTTACAAAGTCAGAACAGCCTCACTTAAGTTTTACTTTTGGAATGTTCTATAATAAGGCAGACTGCTCTCAGGGCTGAGCCTTCCAAAGTCAGATTCATCTTTAATTCTTGGAAGTTTTTTCTTGTTGTGTGACTTGTGTCATACTGTCATCACTTTTTTTCAGCATATTTTTTTTTTTTGTTTTTTTTGACAATTTTCTTTTCTCTCTTTTTAAGGCTCATCTGCTGCTGATTATGTCCAAGAAGTAGATTTTCCGGATTGGTATGATCAGCGTGGCTTTGGTGCTGAACGCAATGAAGACAACAAAAGAGGGTTGTCACAACATCATCCTTATAACTCATCTTCATCTCAGCCTTTGTATAGAGCACTGTCATATCCTGACCAAGAACAGCAGCATCCACGACACCATCACTACTCCAGTGATGCAATCCTGATCCCGAACACATCAGTTCCTCCTCCTCCTGGTCCTCACCTGCTTCAAGCTTCTCCAAACAACAACTCCAGTACTGCATACCGGCCTGGCTCACACCCAATCCCAGTTTCTTCACCTAATTTTTCTCAATTTTCTACTAGCCCTCAGAATCAGATGAATGCCATCATGCATCATGTATCACAATATGGTGGAGGAATCCTACCCCCCCAACAGATTAACACTCATATTCAAAACCAACAGCTGAACCAATTACCACCGCCTCATCTAAATGGCATGTTGCCTCAGATGCGCCACCCCCACCGCCCTCTCCTGTCACCCTTTGGCACTTCGGCATTGCAGTCGCAACGGTTCAATTACCATCAGCAGCAGCAACAACCTCAGATGAATACTTTTGAATTTGCTAATTTCAAAGATCAAAGGGCTGCAGAGTCTATGCTGAGAAGTGGTGGTAGACATGTTGGTGGCATGGGCATGCGTAGTAGTGGCTGGCCAATATTCAAGGCCAAGTACATGTCGACAGATGAAATCGAGAATATTCTACGGATCCAGCTTGCGGCCACCCATAGCAACAACCCGTATGTAGATGATTATTACCATCAGGCTTGTTTGGCTAAAAAGTCCGCGGGTGCGAAGTTGAGACACCATTTCTGCCCAACTAACCTGAGAGATGGAAGTTCCCAAAACAGGGCTAGTGCTGAGACACATGCATTCCTCCAAGTTGACGCGCTCGGTAGGATGTCCTTTTCATCAGTCCGCAGGCCGCGACCGCTTCTTGAAGTTGACCCACCGAACTCATCTCCAACAAATAGTGAACAGAAAGTGTCTGAAAAGCCCTTGGAGCAGGAACCCATGCTTGCTGCTAGGGTCACCATAGAGGACGGGATTTGTCTACTCCTTGATGTTGATGACATTGACCGCTTCCTACAGTTTAGCCAACTCCCAGACAGAGGGGAGCAGTCGAGCAAAAGAAGGCAAGCACTGTTGGAGGGGTTGGCGTCATCCCTTCAGCTGGTGGACCCGCTCGGCAAAAACAGCCAGTCAGTTGACATGTCACCCAAAGATGATCTAGTGTTCTTGAGAATAATCTCCCTTCCCAAGGGCAAGAAGCTGATATCCCGGTACCTTCAGCTTCTCTTTTCCGGCAGTGAACTCGGCAGGGTGGTCTGCATGGCCATTTTCCGAAACCTTAGGTTTCTGTTTGGGAGCATTCCCACTGACCATGGGGCGGCTGAGGCGACTAAAGACCTTGCGAGGACCGTTTCATATTATGTGAGGGGCATGGATCTCAAAGTAGTATCTGCTTGCCTTGCATCCGTGGTTTGTTCAGCAGAACATCCTCCCCTCCGTCCCATTGGAAGCCCTTCAGGTGATGGGGCATCTGTTGTTCTGAAATCTGTTCTAGAGAGGGCAACTGAGCTTTTGGGGGACCCAAACGTCGACCCAAAGTGTGTAGCACAGAACAAAATGTTCTGGCAGGCATCTTTCGATGCCTTTTTTGGCTTGGTTACAAAGTACTGTTTTAATAAGTACGACACTGTCATTCAGTCTTCTCTTGCAGTGGGGGCCGATGCGGCCAGAGCTATAGGGAGGGAGATGCCGGTTGACCTCTTGCGGGCCAGCCTTCCTCACACCAGTGAACAACAAAGGAAGGTGCTGTTGGATTTTACACAGAGGTCTATGCCGGTGCCTAGCACCTAGTTGTGGTGGTGGAAATGGCAGCAGCATGTTTTGAGGTTTTGGTTACACCCACTTGTTTTGTCCAAACATGTGATCATAATGGCAATAATGGCGTGTCACAGCTCGTTGGCAGTTAATGTTTTTTTAGATAGATCTGATATATGCCACAACTTTTTCAGTACTCTGATACAATGGTATACTAGTTATGTTGCGAGGTTGGGTAGCTTGTGATGTGCATGGCATGCATGGTTTTTCATTTTAAAAAATTTGGAGCATAATTTGGTTATTTTTTCATCCTTGTTCTCTGTGGTAGGGTTGAAAAGGGGTATAAATCTTAAAGTCGTTAGATGGTCATTGGAAGAAATTTCTACTTTGTAACGTTGAATGCTATATATATATATAAGAAGTTGTCTTGATGTTTGATGCTAGAGTTTCTGCTTGTCATGTTTCTACATTTTCAGCGCCCCTGCCTGTTTATACGGATTAACTTTATTTTATTTATTTGTTGAGATTGAGATTTGAGTCTATTATTTGTTTTAAAGAAAAAAATTGTGGGTGGTTGTGTTAGTGATTTAGGATGTTTTTTACTTGTGCTGAAATTTATTGGTTTGATCTGGAGGTAGATTTCTGGTCTCTGTGTATTTATAACTATGAAAGTTTGGTCTATTCTGATCTGATCCGGTTTGGGATTGAAAACCGTCCAAACAAAAACATCGGGATTGAAAACCGTCCAAACAAAAACATCCTTAGTTGTAGTTTTTCAGGTGGCAAAACATTAAAAGTCCGTTCGATAACTTAAATTGATTTAATTTGTTGAAATTGATGAAATATTATTTGAAGCGGTTGAATTAGTTGAACTAGGGATAAATTATACTACGTATTTAAAATAAAAAATCAATTATATGAAAATGGCTAAATTGTCTTTTAATTCAATCGGAATAGTAATTTTAATCTTACTTATTTAGTTATTACATATTTAAGTGTGCGATATTATAAGTTATGTACGGAGTATTTGGTAAAAGGTTACTACATGCGGAGTATTTTTTTTAAAAACAAATAACAACTCATATACGGAGTATTAAAATTAGACTTCAACAAATTCACAATACAAATAGGCGGAATTTCCACAAATTCACAATACAATCGGGGTTAAAAGATTGTTAATAAACTGAAATTAAGGGTTATTAAACGGGCTCACAATACAATACTAGTATTTGTGTATTTGTTGATCGTTGCTTTTTAGTTACTTTTGAAATTTACATTTTAGGCAATAACAAGAATGGATAACAATTAACAAATACTCTCTAATGCAATAGTTAAACTTAATCGATGAATTTGAAGTCATATCCTTAAAAAAACGACTCATGCTCAAATTGAATTTTTAAGCTTGCAACCTCGACCCGCTTCACTAGCACCTGTCCCAAACAAATTACCCAATTCTCGGTAAAAAAAAACCATATCCATTTGCTTCGTTTAAAGCTCCGTAACCATGTCCGACGACTCAACTGAAACCCGTCAAGTGGACTTAGCTGGGGACGACTTACCCTCCGGTGCCATCAACGTCAATGACAGCAATGCCAATAGCCCCACCTCAGTTTCTGCCATAGGTGAAGCCCTATCCGCCTTGATTTCCTCTGTGATTAGGGAATTCGACGGCAGAGCTGACGCGACTTCCCGCAGTCAAGAGCAACTCTCTTTCGCCCTCGATCGTCTCACCGGAGGTTTAGTTATTCACCCTCATCTCATAATAGAAAACGAATTTTTAGCAACTCGTGCCAATTCTGATTATTTTAGCAGATGCACTTGTACTTTGATTTCGTTTTGATTTGGGCGTTTGGAATGTCTATTCTCGATGAGTCTTTTTTGTTCTCGAAATGCCTCACCACTGTGACCAAACCCTTATCTCAAGGGGATCCTGACTGAATGTTGTTTTTTCACTTCTTGCTAAAACTGGTGGATTCGTTAACTGGAACATTTGAAAATGCTTGTTGGCAGAACTTGACAAGCTGTTGGAGGATGTGCCATTCCCTTTCATCATGCAACACGCCGGGAGGATATCTGCTGTTAGAAAGAGAGTCACATCCCTAAATTATGTTTTGAAATCCATACAAAGGCGTGTAGATAATATTGACAGGATGGTTGCGCCCACAGGCGTAACGCATGGTGCGTTTCTTGGCTGTCAACTTTATCATTCCATACTTTCTACCATGTGTCTTAGTTCTTATGCATAGCTTCAGTTCACTCACTATTTGGGAATAACTTGACAAGTGAATTGAAGCCTTGGCTTTGATGTGTTTGCCTTGACAACTTGGCAACCAGGCATAATAGATGTGCACACCCGACATCTACTCTAGGTTTGGCAACCGGGCATAAATTATGCGCACACCCGATTTCTACTCCGGGTTAGGACCCCGCTATATGTGCTAAAAAGGTATTCATGATAAGGGTATAATTTAGTTACATTTTAACATGCAGAAAGAAAGACCGGGGATGATGGGGGACAACATTGAGATGTCTCTTCGAAGAGGTAATCTTAGTTCCAGTGTTCCACGTACTGATGCCAACCTCTTTCACATTATATTACTCTTAATAAGGATAAGTGAGCTGTGCAATTGTGTACAGTTATCCAATACATCATCTGCGATATTTTTTTCGCATTAATTTTTTTTCCCAAATACTGTAAAACGTGAAAAAAACCATTTCATCGCAGCCTACGTGAAGGTCTTGCTGTGTGACCGAGATGTCATAGCCTCACAGGGTCAAAGCTTGGGAGCGGCTTCTTGTCAAAATGACAAGGGAAGGCTTGCCCCCTATATACCCTTGTGGTGGGACCCTTCCCCGGACCCTCGCCCTATGGGGACGCCAATGCGTACAGGGCTGCCAAAAAAGAGGCAATTCCATTCATTTCCTTCAAATTTCAGAGGAAGAAGTTATCGGTGTTGTTCTTTAATAGATTAAGTGACAGACATTGCCTTGTCATTCATAAGTATGTCAAGACTTGCCTGATTCACAATAAGACACATACTCCGTATGTGTGAAGCTTTTATGAAGCAATAGTAATGCAATGAATGATTCACCCAATGCAAGCGTGGACATAATCTTTGAAGTGTGCCCATGTCGGTTGACGCGGCAATTACTATTCTCTCTCCACTGTGAACATTTCATTTCGTCTAGCAGGTGTAATTCGCATGTTGCTTTGCTGCATGGTATGTTGGCCTGTCCTGTTTGCGTGTGTCCTTGTGCTTTTGCAAGTGTTGCTATTATGTACAGAGGCAGCAGAGTTGTGGAATAACTATGACACCAACTTAGGGGCTGATTGATTTTTTCCATAAGTCTTCTATGGATTAAGTTGTGATTAAGTTTATTTTTGGATTGTCTACTCATTGAGGACATATGTTTCATAATGAGTTAAAAAAATTGGTTGGGTAAACATCTTAATAGGTGTCTTCATGTGGAAGGAGTAATCACAACTTATAAGTATATCACGGCTTCACAAACAAGTTATTTTGTAGCTTAGTAAATAATAAGTATATTTTAAATTCATTGGAAGCTCTGTTTTCTTGGTTTTGGTTTTATCAATAGTTGAAAGAGATAAGTTTTTTGTCATAAACCAAATGAACCCTCTTCATTGATATACTGCTGTACCGATTATATGCCGGATAGGCGCCTGCCCCCAATCCAGTGTCCATCTTCATGAAATGGCATTGGTAAACGGGTTGGGACCAGCCTGGTTTCTATCCCGGTGAGCAAGGCTCCTTTGGTGTAAAATAGTTATTGAGGAATTTCTTAAAGCAAATGTGTATCCCCCCTCCTTTTTTGTCGGGATGACGAAAAAATGTCATTCCTGCCAAGGTTGCATCTCTTAATTCAACCTACTCAAATCTTATCTAACCCAAAAGGGCATAGTTTATCCTCCAATGCATGGTTGTCATTTCTGCTTAGCGTGAAACTTGATATATATTCTTAAGCACGTTTAATATGACAATGCACGAAATTGGTGTTTTTGCTTGATTTCAATCAGATGGATATATGCTGTTAAGGCTTTTTTTCATACTTTGGTGGATGGGTGAACGTAGTGTTAAGTGGAGCCCCTCTCCCCTTAAGATATGTTTGGGAATTTGGGGGAGGAGGAAGGGAATATTTTGAATGTTAGCTGTGAGATGGGGGGTGGAGTGAAAGAGACCTTCACTTTGATTTGGAAGTGACGAATTTGGAAAGAGATGAGCTACTATAATTATAATTAGGGGTGATTTGAGTTTGCACCCCATATTATTGTCTAAATTGGACATTGCACCCCATTTTTAAAAATATTTGTTTTTGCACCCCAACTCCATATGAAAAGATAAAAATGCCCTCAATCAGGAATATGTTGAAGGTCAACACAATTGTTAATGGAGGGACATTTTTGTCTTTTCATATGGGGTTGGGGTGCAAAATTAAAGATTTTTTAAAAACGGGGTGCAAAGTCCAACCCCTTATAATTAAAATCGCTTAAGATACTTTGTATATTGAATTCAAATAGTTGAATTAGTATTTATTTTAAATTAAGTTAGAATTATAATTTACTTTATTATCCTTCAAGAACTTCCAAATTGGAGAAATTTAGGAATTGAGCATTAAGAGTTTTATTTGTATGACCCCCCCCCCCCCCCTCTCTTTCATATCTATAAAAGGATTTCTCTCCTCCTCCTCTAGATTAGCTTTAAGACTCCATTAATGGGAGCTCTTGCACAATGTAAAAATGGTGAGAAATTATTAATAAAAAGAGAATGACTTAAACATAGTGTGAAAAGTCTCTAGTTTTCGACCTTTAGATTTTAAGTTAAAATTGAGTGTTCATACATTGATTTATATTTATATAACAAGTCTGTGTTGAATTAGTTTCAACAATTTATATTTGAAGACATGCAATATTTTTCAAGTTATATTGGTAGTATATTATATTAGATAACTTATATTTCATCCTTGCCTCAAATTACATTTCCACTTAACATAATTTACAATTTACATTTAGATTTGTGTCAAGTTACACTTTCAATATTTAAATTTTGATTTGCATGAAGTTATATTTTCAATAACATAATGTGCATTTCAACTTGTCTCAGCTACACTTCAAATAACGCAATTTACATTTCATTTATAAAGGTTGAGAGAATAACCACCGGAGCACGGGCGGAGCCAGGGCCTAGGCCCAACTAGGCCAGTACAAAGATTTGTTTGGAAAATATTTTACATGCAATTTTTTATCTTAAAATTCAAGACACTTTAATTTGACGTGGATTAGGCCCTAGGTTGACCACCTCAGATCGGCTCCTGGATTGGAGGAAATAACACGAGTCACAGTTAGTCTTGGACCCGGTTTGGGCCGCCCGCCTAGGGGTGGACCGGTTCCGGTTCGGGCCCGGTTCGGGCCTGGGCCCGGCCGGGCCTCGGTTCAGAAAAAGGAGGCCCGAGCCCGAACCGGTGGTGGGCGGTTCCGGTTCCGGTTCCGGGCCAGAACCGGGCCGGGCCAGGCCGGGCCACCCGGAATGTTTTTTTTTTCTTTTCTTCTTCTTCTCTTATTTAACCCCCTACCCCTCCCCCTCCACCCCAAACCACCTCAAATGGCCCAAAATACCTAATCCAACCCAAAACTTAAAAAAAATTCAAAAAAAAAAAAAAAAATATCCGGCCCGAACCGGGCCCGGCCCGGCCGGGCCGGTTCACTAAACTGGAGGCCCGGGCCCGGACCGGTATACCACCGGGCCGGTAGGCCCGAACCGGAACCGAACCGGTTCACCGGGCCTGTCCGGGCCCGCACAGTAGCGGGCCGGTCCGGTTCTGGGCCGGTTGGCCCGGCCCGAGTCCACCCCTACGCCCGCCCCGTGAACTGGCCCGGACCTTTGGTCCCAAAAGCGGGCTTTGACCCGAACCGGTAGGAATAGCGGGGGCAGTCCCGGTTCACCCCATTCTTTGGAACCAGCCCAGGCCCGGTTCGGGCCTTCTAATTTTTTTTTTGGTTTTTTCATTGTTTTGGGCTTTTTCCTGAGTTGGGCTAGGTGTTTTGGGGGTGGGGGTAGAGGGTTAATAAGAAAAGAAAAAAAAACATGGATCCGGCTCGACCCAGCCCCGGACCTTCAACCAAAAATAAAAACCCGGCCGGGTCTAGGCCCGACCCGAGTCCATGACTAGTCACAGTACACAAGTTACATTACACCGCTAGTTGTGATTACATTGCACAGGACTTGCGTCACAAAAAATCGAGACAAAACAATATTTGATGTTCATCCACGTTTTTGAATTTATACAATCATATTTTTAAGAGTAAATTTCCAAAATGGGACCAAAACATAGGGAAAACGCCACAATAGGACTACTACTTTCCCGTGTGTTATTGTAGGACCAAAACTAGGTTGGAATGCCAAAAATGCCCCGCAAAGCCTTTAGGCATGAGTTCGCAAGCTGCTAACTCTACGATGAATACCGGCTACGACAAATCAATGTTAGTTCGGTGGAATGAGTGTCGGCGACGATGAATGGTGACCCTGCTACATGTCCAGGTGAGTTTCTTCTTCTTCTCCTCCTCCTCCTCCTCCCTTCTCCTTCTCCTTCTCCTTCTCCTTCTCCTTCTCCTTCTCCTTCTCCTTCTCCTTCTCCTTCTCCTTCTCCTTCTCCTTCTCCTTCTTCTTCTTCTTCTTCTTCTCATGCTCTGTTTTTTCTCTTCTTTCACCTTTCATCCCTTTTCTTCTTCTTTTGAATTTCCATTTGTTATTAATTTTGATTATTTTATTTTAAACCATTCTTATTATTTTTCTCATGATTTGAATTTGAAAATGCCATAATAGTTGTGTTATTGAACACTAACTTGAAAATAATGTCACTGTTGTGGCATTACAATTTTTATCAACATGACAGTTTTACTTTACAGGTTAATTACAGTTTCAGAGTAAAGTTGACAGTTTAAAAGAGTAATAATGACAAAATCGATGACATTTTCAGAACAAACATGACATTTTTAAAAAGGTGAAAAAGGAGAAGGAACGATTGTCATGTTTTTAGGTTTTGTATATCTTCTGTAAATGCCATCTTCATGACGTTTCTGTCATTCTTAATAGGGTTAAGAAGCAGGAGCGACTGCCAGATTTTTTATGCAGCAAATGCCATCTTCATGACATTTCATGTCATTTTGAGAACCAAATGACATTTTTTTGTAAAGTAGAAAAAATAGAAGCAGAGCAGGCACAAGAAGAAGAAAGTGTAGAAGTAGGGAGAGCAATGTGAAGAACACCTGAAATTCTGAAATTAGTGTTGGTGCTCCATTTTTACAATTTGAAAGATGGATTTCCGATCGTATTGAAGAGGAAGTGAGAAGATGAAGGAGTGGCAGAGATGTTTCCAATTAAATCAGAAAAGGGGAAAGAAGAGCGTGAAATTTCCGATTAAAAAAAAAAAAGAAACACAGGTGAAGTGAGGGGAGAGCAGAGAGAATAACCTGGGAATTTTTATTTTATCTCTATTAGATTGGGGAAGGGGGTAGCGATGACCAGCGACGAAGTGAAGCAGGGGGCAGGGCGATAGATTGGGTTTTAATTAAAGAAGGGTAAAAGTGTAATCTGGACTCCCATTTAAGCAATTTAAAACTTGAAGTCCTATTTTGGAGTTTTAACCATGTTTTAGTCCCATTTAGTATAATTTCTTCTATTTTTAAACATCATGTCCAAACACAATAAGATCGCGGTAAACATCTTCAAGTTATACAATCATATTTTTAAACATCTTCATGTCCAAACATAATAAGATAACGGTAATATTAATCTTTCAGAACTCTATGATCTACTTTTTTATATTAAATGCTATGAGATGCATTTACTGTTACAAATTTATAATACGGAGTAATATTTCAGATGTGTGCACTTTATTAAAACGCCAATAAAAAGAATTATATACTCGGTAGTAGGCTGTGTATACCATTAAAATAAAAAAGAGGAGAGAGTACGGAGCCTCCAAGAATAATAAACATCTAGATCGGTCGTGCGGTCAAGCCCGTTTGAGTCTCTTTCAAATGAAACATTTTAAAACATGTTTTTAAATTTATATTATCTCCATAAATTTCAAAATTTTGACTAGAAATTAATCGGAAAGTCAATAAAGATATTGTTATTTACTCTACTTTTTATTTTTTTTATTTATACAAGAGAATACTAATCAAGCTTATCATAGTGATAGTTCTATACTATCTATAAGATATGTATAATCTCAGATTGATAGTTCATATGTATGATATGTAATTATGTATAATCAATAAAGAGTTTCAAAGAGTTTTTACTAAAGTGTGGGTGGATGACCTCTCAAGATATATGAAAATACGCTTTACAGTCAAAAAAAATGTAGTGTGAATTGCATGCACAAAGGGAAACGAGGTGAACAACATATATAATATTAGGTTGAGTTAGAGAAAATTATATTTAAAATTAAATTTCTAGTAATGAAAGAAATAAAAAAAATGTATAATAAAAAAACTAAAATGGTTCTCTACAATAATTTTAGTAAACTCAATCGCAAAATAACTTTAATATTACTAATTATGATTTTTACATAATTCAGCATACAAAATTAAAAGTTCTATACTATGTATTTAATAAAAATGTTACTCTCTCTGTCTCATTAAGAGGTTTTCACTTTACTTTTCTGAAAGTTTCATATAAAGGTTCTCACTTATACTCCCTCCGTCCCAGGGAGAAGTTCTCAGGTTGACTTTCACACATATTAAGGAAATAAAGTTACTGGGGGGTAAATTTTACTGTTTGGCACTGTTTCGACACTGTTTGGCACTGTTTCGACACTGTTTTGCATTGTTTAGCACTGTTTGGCACTGTTTTGATGCAGAATAACTTTCCATTTAGGGAAATGGGAACTTCTTGTTGGGACTGTCAAAAAAGGAAATTGGGAACTTCTCCCTGGGACGGAGGTAGTATTTTATACTCATTATAATATATACTCATCAAAACTATTTCTCAAAATATACTCAAATAACCTTATCCATTAATGTCTAACCGATTTTGTTATTTTATAGTGAGAACGTTTGAAACGAAACGGTTTAATAAAACCAATTAGGTGAAAATGGGTTACAAAGTAAGGTCTTATTGGATCAAGTGATCAACGTTAACTCTGCACTCACAAATGTTACTCCCTCCCGGTAGGATTGCTACATCTTTTCTTTTGGGGAAAACTGTCAAATAGGTCTTCGAACTTTCATAAAAAAGTCAACTAAGTCCTTCTATATGAGACTCTGTTCGATCGTCGCGATTTGAGGCGGTTCTCGGTGGAATTTTTAGATGAATTTTTTTGAGCATCTTATTCATCAAGTCTAGTTTACTCATACCAAATTTCAGCTAAAAATTTAATCTGGAGCGCATTCAAATTAATTTGAGGACGCAAAAATGCGCAGTTATCTTCAAGAATTAATTTGAATGTGTTCCCGATTGAATTTTTAGCTGAAATGTGGTATGAGTAAACTAGACTTGGTGAATAAGATGCTCAAAAAATTTCATCAAAACATTCCACCAGGAACTGCCCCAAATCGCGACGGTCGGACAGAACCTCCTATAGAAGGACTTAATTGACCATTTTATGAAAGTTCGAGGACCTATTTGACAGTTTTCTCTTTCCTATGTTATTCATCTTCTAAGATTGTCTTATAACAAATTTGATAAGATTTATATGGATTTAAATACTTTTTTATTTTATTCATTCTTATTTTATCATTCGATATCAATTACTCTCTCAGTCCCGGAAACAAGTTCCCGGGTTGACTTCACAAATTTTAAGAAAATAAAGTTACTGAGAGGTAAATTTTACTGTTTGGCACTGTTTAGCCTGTTCCGACACTGTTTTGCACTGTTTGACACTGTTTTGATGTATGATAACTTTCCATTTAGGGAAATGGAAAGTTTATTTTGGGACATCTAAATAAGGAAAATGGGAACTTGTCTCCGGGACGGAGGTAGTACATAAATAAACTTTGCTTAATAATCATATACCTCCTCATACTCCTTCGGTAGTAAAAAATTCACATTTCTTTTTCATCCGTGGTAAAAAATCTTCTCATTTTTAAATCTTCACATCATACCCTCAATTATTTTTAAAATAATACATTATTACAACTACTTTTTTTGGATTTATATTACGTTCCATCATATTATTTCACTATCTTTTCATCATAGCCTCAATAATTTATATCTTCTTTCACTCTTATTAATGTTTTTGAAACGGGAAAATTTTTAAGTTACAGAGGAAGTATTTTTAATATTACATGGAAGAATTGATTGAATTGGGGCACACAAAGATAAGGTGATTTGGTTTGGTTGGGTTGGGATGATAGATGATAGCCATTTGGCGGCAACGAAATATGCATAAGACATGGTCACATCGGCTTGACCATGGTCAATTGGTTCTACGAAGCGGGGCCCATTTCTGTCTCCATCTACTCTACATACCAAATGACCTCGCTCCTCCCTATGCACCACAAACTCCGTTATCGTAGCCACTCGCCTCCTACCACCCATCCGTCCTTCTTCCTTTCAATCAAACCCTAGCTACCAGCTACGACAAATAACTGCTACAGTGCCCGGTTTGTTTGTTCATTTATTTATCTCTACATCTCTCCATCTCTATCTCTGCGATTTTCAGATTCCCATTCATTCAGACTGATCCAACCTCTTGTCGTTCTGCTTCTTTTTATATTCCGAGTTTCGCATTGCATTCAATTGAGTAATCACAGCTGGAGGAGGAGATATACAATGGCGTCTGCCTGCGTCAACCCTATCGGAATGTCACCGGAGTCCTTTCTCGACTGTCCTCAGGCCAAGTTTCCTTCCTATGCTTGGTTGAGTCCACGAGTATCGTACAGTCGGGAGTTCTCAGAGGATTCCAGGAAGACCAAGCGTTCTTCTCAGGGGCAGGGGCAGGGGCGTGAGAAGCGGGAAGAGGAAAAGGAGGAGGAAAGCTCAGATCCGGAGGATTTCGAGTTCCGTCTGGACGATCCGGTCGCAATGCAGCCGGCGGACGAGCTCTTCTCCGACGGGAAGCTAATGCCGCTGCACCTGTCGATGGTCCGGCCTGTGGCGGCGCCGGTGAGAGCCACGTCCCCGGATACGCCGAAATTGCGAATCAGAAACGAGATTTCCGGTACGGACCCTTACCTCTTCTCTCCGAAAGCGCCTAGATGTTCCAGTCGATGGAAGGAGATTCTAGGGTTGAGGAAGCTCTACCACCAGAGCAGCAACGCTGCGGCAAAGCAGGAGAGTCACTGCAGAATCTCGTCGTCTTCGTCTAATTTGCTGGGCAATAAATCTCTGAAAAGCTTCCTGCACCGCAGCACCGCTTCAAAGTCCACCAATCCCGCCGAGTCTATCTCCCTCCGCCTTCCTCTGCTCAGGGATACCGACAACGACTCTCTGGCGGTTTCTTCTGCTAGGCTATCGCTCTCATCCTCCTCCTCTTCAGGCCACGAGCACGAAGACCTCCCTCGTCTCTCCCTCGATTCCGAGAAACCAGCAAACAACGCCCACACTCGGAGTGGGAGTCAAAGTAGCATCAGCAATAATAATAACAATAATCCCCCACGAGTTCGAGCGGTGAAGGCGAGGGCGGAGAACCAGGGGGTGCGAGTTGGGCGGAGCCCAATGCGGAGAGTACCAGAAACGACGGCGGCGCGTGGACTCTCCGTGGATAGCCCACGCATGAACTCGTCAGGGAAGATAGTTTTCCAAAGCTTGGAGAGAAGCTCGAGCAGTCCGAGCAGTTTGAACGGTGCTCCCAAGCACAAGGTGCAGAGAGGAATGGAGCGGTCGTACTCAGCGAACGTCCGCGTCACTCCGGTTCTTAACGTTCCAGTCTGTTCACTGAGGGGGTCCTCAAAGTTCGGGTTTCCTCTGTTTTCGTCTTCCTCATCGTCGTCACAGAACCAGAGGAAGGAATCAGCCGGTGTCGGAAGCAAAGCGCACCCGAGTATTGCGGCGGCGAAACACCGTACGGATCGGATCAAGGAATGATTGGACGCCTTGCCTTCGCCATTACCATTTTGTCTCGATCTTTAATCTTTTACACATTATTATTGTTGTTGTTATGATAGATGAGAGATTAGATGCGGAGTATTCGGTAATGGGTGCGTGCTGATTGAACCTTTGTTCTTCAATTCTTCCTTTGTGGCAAGTGATGAATTCAGGTAACTGCTACTACAGCACTGACTGCTCTGCCGCCATAGTAGTGGTTAGTTAGTGACGATGATGGTGAGATTGTATGTGAATAGTTGATTCGTTTTCTTCTTTTCTTTTTGATCGTTCGTTAGCATATGCTTCTGCTGTTAGATTGAATGAATTGGATCATCATGATTCCCGGCCCGGGTGTCCGGGCTCTTGCCTTTTCACTCCCTCACGATTAAATGCATAAATAAAATTGAATGGGAAGGAGTAAAAATTTACCATTCCAATCTCAGATTTCCCCACCCGTCTTTTGTTGATTCTGAAAAGTTGGTGTTGGTAATGATAATTAACCGGATGGATAGATGGATGAGGACGGAATTGGTGGGTGGGTGGGTGGCGGATAACGCGCCGGCAGAGACCGGGGGAACATGTCAATCGATGTTAGCTTCTTTGTACGTACCCCGTGCTTTTTTATTTTTTACGGATTCTTTATTGGCAGGTTTTGTCTAGCAAATATCTATTTCGAGCTCATTTGGCAACTTTTTTCGATTTATGAGGCTCATTTTTTTATCAAATACGTAGTACTATGTACATAATTTTTTATTTCCTGTGCTCATGCAATAATATAAAAATGTAAAGATGTAATTACTTTTAATTTTTTATTTCCTACGCTCCATTGTGCAATAATATAAAAATGTAAAGATGTAATTATTTTTCTGATTCTATGGGTTGAATTTACTAAATATGTTCACTCTTGCTATTTTCACATAATTTTTCTTTATTTACTTAATAAAAAATATTTTAAATGGTCAATGTAGCTGATTAGGATATTACCTAACTTCGTATTATTATATTTATTACTACTCCGTATTATTTTATTATTATTATTATTATTATTATTATTATTATTATTATTATTACTCCCTCCTTATCAATTTAATTGACTCACTTTCCTTTTTGGGGTATCAAATTAATTGACCCCTTTCCGTTTTTGGAAAGAATCTCACTCAAAAAGCAGCTACAGTGTCGCTACAGTATCAAAAACCTCTTACTTTTAATAAAGTCTACAATAATTGTATTAAACTGCGTGAAAAGCAAATGAGTCAATTAAATTGATATCGAGGGAGTATTATTATAAAGGGAAAACTGTCAAATAAGTCCTCGTACTTTTGAGAAAAAGTCAATTAAGTCCTTTTACTATTTTCCCAGTCAATCAAGTCCATAACTTTGAAAAATTAACCAATTTCAGCATTTGAGCAGTAAGCAACCAGTAACTCCCGGTAACTTCTGATGTGCAGGCCCACGTGGCAATTATTTTTTGCTTTTCTCTTTCTTCTCTCACGGACCACCTCTTTTTCATCCCTAATCTCGTTTTTTCTTTCATTCTTTTTTGTTTCTTTCTTACTTATTTTCTTTGTTCTATTTCTTTCCAGCATACACTGTCGGCGACCAACTCTCCCCATCCGCCGTCGTTGCTTCGCCGTCATCCACAACCTTTCTTCCACCGCATGCCACCGGTCGCTCAAAACTTACCGCCATTGTGGACTGCTCGTCGGCCATGCTTCTCCAATTTGGCACCGATCTTCCACAACCAAAGTTTTATCAGCCGTCCGTCGCCCACACTTCCCCAACCACCGTCACCAGCCTCGCATCACTCAAATCTTTCGCAACGGATGCCACAGCTTCTCAACCGTCGACAGCCATCCAAGAAAGAGAATCGGGAAGAACGGAAGAAAATAAAGAAAAGGAAACTGGAAAATAAAGAAATTGGGGTAAGGGAGAAAATCAGGAGGAGAAGGATAGTGAACCGGAACGAAAGAAAAAAGAAAGAGAGGAGGGAAGAAATGTACTAGTACGAAGCAAGCTGGGAAGAAGGGGTCTGAAAGAAAGAAGATACATCCGTTCATCGGAGAAAGAATCAAAGAAAAACCAGAAAAGAGGGGAAAAGGGGGCCGGGTAAGAAGGAAAAATAAAAAGTTTTGCCACGTAGGCTTCCACATCAGCAAGTATATGGGTTACCGGCTGTTTACCGGCCAAATAGCAAATTTGGTTAATTTTTTGAACTTGGAGGACTTGATTGGCTCGGAAAATAGTAGAAGGACTTAATTGACTTATTCGCAAAAGTACGAGGACCTATTTGACAGTTTTCCCTATTATAAATGTCCTTCTCGCCTTCTCTGGACTCTTAGCATAGTGGCATGAGGACCAAACAAACCATCTACTGTACTCCCTGTCAATTAAGTAGTGAAACAAAACAAGTAAGGTGTGTTTTAAATGTCCAAATTTTTTGGTAGTGATATGCTCGGTATGATGAGAATAAATATCTAAAACATTTTAAACAAGATTAAGTCTAATTTTTACCTTCTTCAATACATTATTTTTAAATGTACAAATTGTTCAAATTCAAAATGATACATTGTCACTTTTTACTACTACTTACTCTGTATTAGAGCATCTCTAATGGTTCTTCTCAAGTACTTGGTTGCAATTTTTTAAAATACTCAAGCTAGGAGCCTACCATTGGAGTACATAATACCTTCTAGCTTGAGCAAGTAAATACTCAACCAAAGATAAATTGTTTTTTTTTTTGAAAACTTTCGCCTTTTTATGCTTATGGTTCGCTTTTCATGTATTGGTTTACGTTTTTCTATGCATTTGATGGATAACCTCTTCCACACCTTTCTTTTATCAGGGGCTTTTCTCTTCTCTTGCTTCTAGGCTTTGCCTTTTGCTGTCATTAGAACACTGTTATTGTTTTCTAGGTATTTTATTGTTTGACACAACATTTAAAAGAAAATTAATAGGGATAATGAATAGAAAAAACACAATAGATTGTTACAAGGTACGAAAAAGGAAATGAAATGGTAGAAAAGACAAGGGATTTAGTATTTTTGAAAAGAAAAATTAAATTAAATTAAATATAACAAAAAAATAAAATAGAAAATCAAATAATACAACTATTTTTTTATTATGATTATACTATTATTATTATTATTATTATTTTTACTCCGTATTATAATCCGGTTATCGCACTCGGTGGGATTTATTTATTTTATAAAAAATGTTTGGTTTTACAATTATTGGGTGGAGGTGGGGTTGAAATTTCTGGTTTCTTTCGGGACTCCATTTTGAATTGTTGGTCAGACTCTGTCAACTTTGCTCTGTTGTTTCGCCAGTCTCATTATTATATTTCTCAATTGATATACTCCATATGCCATTTACCATTTTGGCGGATAACATTTTTTTTACTATTGTTTGTTGGCTGGTTTTATTATTAATTGCCTCTGCAACTGTGTAAGGTAATACTCACTCTTCTTTATTGTTGTCGAACCATATCCAAATTAAATACACGTACTAATTGAATTTAACTGCATTACTGTTACTCCGTCCGTATCCGCCTTCAATAAAATATATTGCCTTCGTCCTATACTCCCATTTCATACTGATAATAGCTTTGTGTTAAGTGAACTTGAGAAACCAAACTCTGTGTTAGGTGTAAAATACTCCCTCCGTTTCCGTTTGTGTGAGAACTCTGTGTTAGGTGTAAAATACTCCCTCCGTTTCCGTTTGTGTGAGACGCTTTCTTTTTTTAACGTTTCAAAATGAATGACATAGTTCCCATTTGGTAAACAAAATGGTACAAAACAGTGTCAAATAGTGTCCAGACAGTAAAATTTATCCCCAATAAATATTTTCCTTATTTTTGATAAGCCAACTATATCAAACAACTAGAAACGGAGGAAGTAAGAAAAGTAGAAATTACTTCGTATATATTATGATTTGTATATAGTAAAGATACAGATTTAAAATACAAATCCATTATTTCGAATAAAAATTAAACGTAACAAAATAGAGAGGAGTGAGTACTCAGTATGGGAGAATAAGCAAACTCCCTTGAGGGGAAACCTTTACATTAGCTTAATTTACACAAGAGCAATTGGACTATTGGAGCATGATAGGCACACATCTTAATTTGGGCTCGTATCAGAGTAATCATGGTAAGGAGAGTAAATACAAGAAGATATTAACAGATATACTCATTTTGTATTTAAAAGTTTTGGTATATCAGGCTTATCTTTTTCATCAAACACGTAACTTTTGATTTTGCACGCTCAATTGTGTAATAAGCAGAAAAGGTAAGGTTGAAGTTATTTTTCTGATTGTATTGGCTGAAGTTACTGCAGATGACCATTTTAGCTATTTTACATATGATTTTGGAAAAATGGAAACTAATGATCCAACCTTTTAGCGGTCTTCTTACAATAATCCAACCTTTGGGTTATTCATGAATAATCCAACCTTTGCACCTCATCTTCATTCACTGGTCCCTGACCGGTTGATGACCTGATATTCCAAGCTATTTTCTTATCTTTGCAAATCATTATACCATAAATCTCATCTTTCACAAAGATAATATTTTGCAAAGATAAGAAAATAACTTGAAATAGTAGGTCATTAACCGATCAGGGACCGGTGAATGAAGATGAGGTGCAAAGATTGGATTATTCATGAATAATCAAAAGGTGGGATTATTGAAAGAAGACCGCTAAAAGGTTGGATTATTAGTTTCCATTTTCCCTATGATTTTTTTCTTTATTTTATTAATAGAATATATTTTAAACAAATTTTGTTCTTAAATCAGCAGAATCATTCATTGCAACTACTTCAATCACAACTTCATAAATTCTGCCAAACGGGGTCTTTGTTTATGTGTTAATTTTTTCCTTTTAGATACCTAATTACCATTACTTTTTCTATTTTTTACCTTCTCTTTCTTACCTTTTTAGTTTTTCTCCTACTTTTTTACACTATTCATTACTCGTACTATTTCCTTAAAAATTGTATCAAGACCTAATGTAATGATTTTTTAAATACAGATAGGGTACAAAACAACTAGAAATTACAAATCATCAAAATATGGCTAGAGATCACATCTAAATAAGGTAAGCTATTACACCCCCATAGTCGCAGTAGGAGAAGGACAGATGCTGAGACTATCACGATAGCGAAGAAATAACAGTCGAGGAAGTTCTTTAGTAAAGATGTCAGCATACTGATACTCATCATGAATATGAAGGGCCCGAATGTCTCATAGTTGAGCTCGTTCCCGAACAAAGTGAATGACAATCTCAACATGCTTAGTGTGTTGATGTTGAACAGGGTTGCTCGAGAGATATACGGCGTTGATGTTATCACATTAAACAATAGTGACACGTCGAAGAGGGAGATGACGGTCGACAATGAGATTGTGAAGCCAACATGTTTCAATGGCAGCATTAGCAACTCATCCATATTTAGCT